TCTTCGCCTTTTCTTTTCACTGAAACACAAAGTCGGACAGTGTTAGATTTGCTAATTTCAATGAAACTCCTTACTTGTCGATCACTTGTCAGAAATACAGGAGGAGGCGTTTCATTGGACGACATATTGCCTAGCATTATCTCTGGTAGTGCATAACTAAGTTCAATATTATGCACTGAACTATCTAACTGGTATTCTTCTTCAACTATCTGAAGTAGTCCAGCATATGACATATCATCCACTAGAACAAGTAATTTGGAGCCTTTGGTTTGATCAATTGTAAAGTGCCATACGTTCTTTAGCATCCAATCACCAAAAACAGCAATCGTGTGTACCATGTTTCTGTGAAAAAAAAAGGTTTACAAATTAGTTTGACACTCTACATAATAACTTCACGAAACTGACTTTACATAATAACTTTAGCAAACAACTTTACTTAAAATCTATAATAATTGTGTGAAACTAAATTACTAGAAAACTTTGCAAATTAACTTTACCTTAAAACTTTTGCAAACAACTATACTTAAAATCTATAAAATAACCGTGTGGAATTAAATTACGAGAAAAATTTGTAAATTAATTTTACCTTAAAACTTTATCAAATAACTATACTTAAGATCTGTATAATAACTGTGTGAAACAAAATTTATGAGAAAACTTGATATTTAACTGTACTAAAATACTTTATTAAACAAATATACTAAAGATCTAAATAATAATTGTGCTAAATTAAATCTACCAAACAACTCTCAACAACTAAAATATACATGAAACAATCTACGTAATGAGAAATTACTAAGAATTTGAGAAAACAACTTTTCTCATTACTACGAGACAACTTTTCTCAATAATTTTACCCAATAATTCTACCAAACAAGATCTACGTAACAGTTTACAAAAACAGTTTTTCAAAAAACTTTACCAAACAAATATACATTAAACTCTACATAATAACTGTTCAAAACTATCTATATTATACTCTACTAAATAACTTTTTCAAAAACTTTAGCAAGGACTGCATCTTTAAATAACTTTGCAAGAGATTTATATACATAAACGTTCTAAAGTATATGAAACTATGCACAATACTTACTTCTCTGTAGACCTGACAAATCGTTTTTTTTAATGGAGTTTGGTTTGATAAACACTTATATATACGTAACTAACAACATAGTTCACATTGGTTTTGGAAATTAATTTAGAGTTATATTATTAGAAAATATTGTAGAAAAGTTTGGCATATTCTTCAGATTTTATCTTCAAATTTTATCATAATCAATAAAACATAAAAATTCAAAAAAATCTGTAACTAACGTGGGCTATTATAAACGTGGCTTTAACTTTTTTTTTTTATGTTAAATCATATAATTAGATAAACATAAGGATAATTTTGTCTTTTGTTAGTCTACATCTTTAATTCTAAAAGATATGGCCTAGATTAATAATTTTGGTTTGTTTTTAGATTTTTTTTCATAATTTTCCCTAAGTATTTTGACTTTAAAGTTTTGCAATAAAATTTTGGCTGTTGAGACTTTAAAATCAATTAGTAAAAATTGTAGGCTTTTTTTTTTTAAACATAGTAAAAATTGTGAGTTTAGAAATGATAACTTTAAATAATATAAATGATCTAATTATGACGGTTTTCGATAGTCAGTGAAATCTTACCAAAAATTATGGAAAATAGATCTTAAAAAACCAGAAAAATCATCATTATTAATTAATCAAATGGTTATTACTTGTATCTCTTATATTTTGGATTTGCTAGCAGTACTTTTTTTAAAAAATAGATCTTAAAAAACCAGAAAAATCATCATTATTAATCATAAAAAATCTCATTCACCATGGAACATCCTGAATTGTGCCCATATGTGTTTGACTAGATCTGCTTGCAATTCGTGATGTACATTTGAATCACGCAACTCGGATCTAGTAGACACATGATTTACAAATACGGGTAGCACTTCGGTCGAGAATGGTTGTTGTGTACTCGACCCACTTGCCTCAGATTGATCATAATATAATCAGTCCAATGTTGAACATATGTCTCTCGTTCAGCCTCAACAATCATATTAAGCAATATGATACACGACCTCATGATGATAGCCAAATCGGCTATGTCCCACAGGCGAGGTGGTTCGCGAATGATTTTAAATCGAACCTGCAACACTCCAAATGCACGTTCAATGTCCTTTCGACACGCCTCCTGACGTTGTGCAAATAACTTGTCTGGTTCACTTTGAGGTAGCCTAATCGATTTGACGAAAGTAGGATAAGAAGGATAGATACCATCAGCTAGATAGTAAGCCATATTATATGGACGTTGGTTCACAAAGAAATTCACTCTTGGAGTATTTCCTTGTTCAACATCATCGAACACCAGTGAATGGTCTAGAACGTTTATATCGTTCAATGTGCCCGGACATCCAAAAAAGTATGACAGATCCATAGATCATGAGATGCAACTGCTTCAAGAATAACAGTAGTGGTTCCCTTCTTATCTCCTCGAGTAAATTGATCTTCCGACGCTGTAGGACAATTTTTCCATTTCCAGTGCATGCAATAAATACTCTCAATCATCCCTGGAAACCCTTCCATTCCCAGTTCATTACAACATTGTTCACATAGTTATAGTGATTTCTGCCTGCTTCTCCATCACGCGGATGATCAATGTTCATTACAATATTCAGCAATTTTACCTCAATATGACTCACCTTTTTGGTTTTTGCCAATAATGCTGTTTGTTCCAAATTTAATCCACCCACTCAATCAAACCAAATTTTGCTCAGTGGTCCATTTGGGACTTCTCCGAAAAGCAAGAGTTGAATCATCTGCATCTGGAATGACTTCATGAATACCGCTAATACCACCCAAAGCCATTTGTGTAGAAAACTCGGGAAAATCAGTTGCTCCAACATTCGAATCAGTTTCATTACCTGTTGGAGCAGAAGAATAAGAAGGTGCTTGAGATGGATAAGACATCATCGATCCATGATATGGACGATAGTATGGAACGGCTGACGGCATGAAGAAATTTGGTGGATAACCATAATTTGGTATATGGTGAGGCTGGTTAGCAGATTGATTTTAAAACAGATAATTGTTGGGATTTGGATAGTTAACAGGGTAATTAAAAGAGTTTTGAGTGTTGAAAGGGTTATTATTTGGATCATTTACATAAAAAGATATTTAAAGCTAAAACAAAATTTTTTGGGTTGGCTGATTTTTTAGCCCTTAACTATTTGCAAACTCAACGATTCTCCTATACTTTTTTGCTCTTAAAAAACCACCACGAACTAATTTTCTCAATAAATCATCACATACTTTCGGATTCATCTTGAAAAATACGCCTCCAATTGAACCGGCCATTTAACCGGGTTTAACCACAAATCCGCGTTTACTGTACCGCGATTAGGATTACCTGAATAATTATCTATGACCCGTTAAGAAAACGACGTCGATTTCACTCTTCTCTCAATTTCTCAAACTTGTGAATCGTCATTGTTCACCCATTTCAAAATGAGGGTTCTTCAGAGAAAAGGGGTAAGGGGTTTTGCGATTTCTGGGTTAGGGTTTGGAATTATGTCTGATTGGGTTGGGGATACATCGGATTATATGCCGTGGAAAGAATTAGTGTATCAAAGTGATCCTGATGATCCTGATTTCGAGCCTCCAGAGAGTGAAAGTGATGTGGTCGATAGTGGAATTGAAAGCGGAGATGAGGGAGATGGCGAGAACGATAGTAATGGAGGAGACGACTCCGACAGTGAGAGTGAGAAATATGGAGGAGACAACGATAGAGAGTGTGACGACAACGATAGAGACTGTGAGAATGATGGAGACGGTGGCAGAGATGAAATCCGAAGGAAGAGAAAACGACAGGAAGGTGAAGGTGAAGAAGGGGAAAGAGAGAAGAGACCGAGGAGGAAAGAGAATAAAGATCTACGTGAAGAAGACATAATGGAGAGGTATGTATCAGACATTCTAGCTGAGGAGGAGGATGCTATCAAATGTGAAGTTACAAAGGAACACATGGCAAGTATGAGGTTTGGATTGATAGTAATTCTAATGTTGTGAACTTGACGACTGCAGAATGAGATTGTTCATGCTGCAAGTGGCAAGTCACAAGGATTCCATGTGAACATGCTTATGCAGCAATCATGCATGCAGAGAAGGATGTTGAAGATTTTGTCGTACCAATGTTTCATAGAACTACTTGGGCAGAAATTTATGAGACAGCTCTTGAACCTGTTAGAGGCCAAATGTACTGGCCTACTGGTTATGTCCTAATAACCGCACCAGAAGCACCTGTTCCACCTGGGAGAAAGAAAGGAGAGAAGAAGAATTAAAATCGGATCAAGGGTAAACATGAGTCACCAAAGAAAAAGAAGAAGCCGGGTGAACTAGAAGTACTCAAGCTAGGAAGGAAAGTGATTACAATTCATTGCAGATCGTGTAAGGAAGATGGACATAATTCAGCTAGATGTAAGAAATTCCCTAAGGAGAAGAAGAGTAAGAAGACAAAAAATCAAGAAGAGGTATGTCCCTTCTATTTTTCTAATGTGTCTATTTGACTTAGAAGTTATGTTTATTTATGTTTATCTTTCTGTTGTAGGCTGCTGGATCTTCACAATCACCTAAGGAGAAGAAGAAGACTACAAAGGGTAAGAAGGATCTACCTCTCAGCCCTCTCAGCTTATGGATCATCAAGAAGGATCACATGGACCAGAAACACTCAACCTAACACAAAGAAGCAGTCAATGGGACCAGTTACTACAAGAAATATAAGTGTTGACATCACATTACGATAGCGTATTTTTCGTAACTGCTATTAAAAATGATACTCGAATTTTGCTAATAATATTATAGCATTTCAGAAACGCTAAGCCCTATAATAACATAGCCGAAACTAAAGTCACTTATGACCGCCAATATTTAACGACACATTTGCCCAGACCGCCAACACTTAGCCAAAAAATAAGAAAAAGCTCAAACTAAAAATCAAAATCTAATTTCTATCTTCTCCATCCTCTTTCTCTCTTTTACGCTCTATTCCTCGATTCTTCCCTTCTTCCTTGATTTTTCCCTTCTCCTTACCTCTCCTTACCTACTCACTCTTTTCCTATGATTATACACCCCTAGATCTATTGGATTTTATCAATTTCTATTACTCTTTGTCATTCTCGCTCTTATCCCAAATTCTTCTTCTTCTTAAATTCTATGAATTCTTCATCCTCCATCTCCGTCGCTCGTCCAGATCCCCTAAACCATAGGTTTTGATTTCGTTGGCTAGAAACCCCAAAACATCTTCGTCGCATGTATGATTTTGTTAGGGTTCAGTAGATTCATGAGCACTTGGGTTAGATTTTGTTAGGGTTAGATCGATTTGGATTATATTGATTTCTTAGAAGATTTAGGCCGGAGTGGAGTGGTTTATGTTCTGATGATGCTTTTCATGCCCTCCAGGTGCTCGACGAATTGCCTCATTATTGACTTGCTTGTTTCTTAACTGTTTTGTGTTGATTTAGGTTTTGTCTTGTTGCTGTTAAAACTTGCAGGTACTTACTGTTTCGTTTGTTTCTATACAACGGTTTTATGCACTCCACGCGGTCTTACTTAGTAGACATGTTCTGTTTTTGTTGTTGTGAGGGTGTCTTGATTTTGATTTCCAAGTGAGTTTGAATAAATTTGTGGCAAAAAGTTTCAGAAAATAATTAGACGTTAATTGAATCAAGTTGGTGAGTCCTTCAAAAAACAATTTGTGGCCTACACGTCTCGACAACCTCTCTTCTTTACACGTTTTGTGTGAGTCCTTAACGATTTGGTTTTGTGTGAGTCCTTAACGTTAGCATTATATATAGTGGTTAGTCAAATTTACTAGGTTTGGTTTCTCGAATGTGAAGGCTTTGTCTCTTTGTAAACCAATTTGATGTCTTCTCCTAAGTAATTTCAAGCTAGATTCATTCGTACTTGCTCTTAGAGCATGATTAGTCTATTTAGTTCAATTTTGTGCTTAGATGAAGAGTTTCACGTGACTCTACCTCACTATTTGAATATTAGTCTAAGTGGAAACATTCTAGTCATACTTGTTTGTATTTCTTCTCTCTCCATATGTTTCTTTCTTCTAAAATCTCATTTATCTGCAAGGGATAAGGACTTACTATGCAGCTATCAAGAAAGTGGTGTATAAAATTAAGAAAGTTGGCACGAGGATCAACGATCTATGTGGTATGTGCACATTCTTTACTCATGAAGTGTTGAGTTTATTTTGATTAGTTTGTTTATTGGTTGTAATATATGGTTATTGAAATGTTTATATGGAAACATGCAGGTATCATGGAGTTTGTTAAAAAAAAACTTGCTTATATGATAAAAAAGGTTGTCTCGTTTTCTTCTTTTTCGTTTTTGTTAACTTTAAAATGTGTTGTTCCATGATTACTTCTTAAAATCTTAAGTTAATTAGTTTTGGATTTCGTTGGTGTTGTGATGAGAATTTTTGTGTTAGAAATGATTGTGAAGGGGTCATAGTAACGAATAGTATGTTTAGTCTCTGAGTTTGTGGTTATGACTACAGATGCTGTGTCTCTAGCGATTCTTCTTCATCTTTCCTTACACTCAAATAAGGTCCAATTTCTTCTCTTTTGCTTTATTTGTGTCCAGCTTGTTTGTTTGAGTCTGAAATGCTTTGTTGTTCTTGGGTACTTATTTCCGTATTTATTTTTCCTCTGTGAATGAAATGCTTAATCTGTGATGTTTATTCTTATTATGTGATTTTTAGTTGCTTAACTGTTTGCTTAATCTATGATTTTGGTCTGAAGTTAATCTGATTTAGCATGATAATTACTCTGGTTTCACATGATGTTAATTTGCTCTTAAATTCTTATAATTTTGTTTCATGCAGAGGTTAATTAACAACATCAAGACTGTGAAAAAGATTTTGGACATGAAGGTGCAGAAGTCATACTATTGATGAGGCCTAACGATAAGCTCCTGGTCTGAAGCAAGATAATGTTAGGTAGTTTAAGTTGAAATTTATGGTTGTGTGACACAGATAAAGTTATTTCGGTTTGGTTTTGAAACTAATGTAGTCAAACTAGAGTTCTTATTTAATTGTATTATTCTTCATTAATTGAAACCGGATTGAATATTATGTATAGTGCAAAAAAATACAAAAACCAAAACAAAAACAAAACCACAATATATTGCATAATACAAATGCTATTTTAATTGAATAAATTGCATATTATAAATGCTATTCTAATTGATTAAATTGCATATAACAAATTCTGTAATTTGATAATTAATAAAAAGATATACTCGTTATTATATAATATTATATTGCGTAAGAAAACACGCTATAATATGTAAAAAAAAATATAGCACCACCAAAAACCGCTATCGGAAGCCGTTGACCTATTATCATGGACGCAGATATAGCGCTTTCTACTATGTTATTGTCTCGTTAGATAGCGTTATTCGGCCGCTAAGGTAGTCAATGTACTAGTTGTGTAGTTGTAGGTTTTAATCTTGGTTAGAGTATGTAAGATCATAACACCTAGTATCTTTTTGTATGTTATGGATGTTGATCTTTTGGATGTTGGTTATTCTCGGATCATTATATCTCTATTTTAGATGTTGAAAACATTGGTTCCTCAAGTTTAATTCTGCATTGTTGCTTCATCATCACATCATTCATTAGATGGCATTACAAAATACAAAACACAAAGCTAAAACACAAAGTCATTACACAAAACAGAGACATAAAGATCACAACGTCATTACACAAAACAGAGACATAAAGATCACAAAGTCATTACACATAGCCTCAAGACCTACATTTTTCCCCATAGCCTCAAGACTTTCCCCATAGCCATACAATTGAGCAAAAAATAAGAGAAGCAACACTGTCTTCAAAGCTGATTTTGCCATAACATGACCCAGCTCTTCCACATTCTCCTTCATGATCTTCACTTCACCCTCTATCTCCTTACTCATTGCATCCTCCATCTTCTTAAAGTTTTTGTTTTAGAGATTCATAGTACCCATCACTTCCATCCTCAAAGCATTGACATCCTCTGCAACTAACTCACACTTCTCCTCGACCATCCTAATTTAATTTCTTCTAAGAGAGCTACATCAACCCATTTGAACAAGTGATCCTCATTTTCCCTCTATACACATAACCTCTGATCAATACTCCATGGTCTTTTCAAATCAACAATTTAACCAAATAGAAGAACGTACTTTCATTGCAATCGCACATTGGTAGAATCTCCGTTATGGATTCGCCTTCGTTTTCGATGTGAATGTGATTATATCCTCTCCATACCAGCATTTCGACGGGATACCATGAAAAGAAAAACAATGCGCCGAACTTGAAGCGGATGAGTAGTAGCTCGTTGTGCTCATCGTCTCTGCATTTTCAGAAATTTAGTACCAAATGAAAACGAAGATGAACCCTAAACCCCAAATCGATTTTATATACAAGAACGACGTCGTTTGGCTTCGTTTTGAGACATAAAGAGACAAGTGAAAACGACGTCGTTTTCTTAACGGGTCATGGATAATCATTCGGGTAATCCTAATCGCGATACAGTAAACGCGGATTTGTGGTTAAACCTAGTTAAATGGCCGGTTCAATTGGAGGCGTATTTTTCAAGATGAATCCAAAAGTATGTGATGGTTTATTGAGAAAATTATTAGTTCTTGTTGGTTTTTTAAGAGCAAAAAATATAGGGGGAATCGTTGAGTTTGCGAATAGTTAAGGGCTGAAAAGTCAGCCAACCCAAAGTTTTTTTGGAGACTAAACTTTTTTTTTTTTTGTCTAAAGACGGTTTTTTTTTTCTGTATCCAAATCAAATGAAAGTAGTCTCTATTTATAGAGAATGAAAAAATATATTAAGTTTGATATAAATTTATATATATTTATTTATAAATATTATGAAATAATTGAAGTTATATAATTGAGATGAAAAAAAAAAATAGAATAATCTCAGCTCACAAACTTATAAATACATTACTTGTCACACTTATATTCTTCCTTCTACTTTCACTGGTGTTGATTATCAACAGTAAATTTGTCAGTTCACTCACTTTTCGATTACAACAAACCATTGTAGTGGAAATAATTTTTTCAACATTTGTAAAAATGTTTACAATAAACCATTATAACTAGTCTAATAAAGGAATAGTTTGAGGCTTCTAAGAGTGTCCACATCAGCTTTGTAAACTACTATCTTATAGGTTGCCACGTAATCGATTTGCATCCCTTAAACAAAAATCAGGCCACGTCATCTAAGGTTTTAGGTTTTCATGTTTTCAGTGAGATTGGCGTTTAATTTTCCCTTACCCTCTTCGATCGTAACTACATCAATATGGAGAGTCGAGTCGTCATCTTCAATCGTCATCTTCAAAGCTTCACTATATATTTCCAGTTTATCTATTATCCCTGCTAAACTATAAAATTTTGTTCATAGACTTCTCCACAAGAATCAAATTTTTTTTTTTTTCACAGGAATCATATGTTGGAATCTAAAAGGTGGACTTTCTGTTCTATGTGGGTTTGGCCGAAGAGAAGAGGATGGAAGAAAGTCTACCTTTTAGATTCCAACATCTTATTCATGTGAAAAAAAAAAAAAATTTGAAGGGAGAGAGTTTTTAAAACAACCAAATAAATAATCTTCCCTTTTTAATATATAACAGAAAAAATTTTAACTTTAACAAAAAAAAAAGATAAATTTTTTATTTTTAGTATAATTTATCTTATTAGAAAAAAAATATAAAAAATCATTGTATATATGTAAAAAAAATCTACAGTTTTAATTTGTTAAAACTATGAGATTTATTCGTATAAATGGTCATTTATATATTTTTTGCACATTCACTTATTGTTTCTAAAACAATACAGGGGAACCCATAAAGAAGATTCATGACATTACCAAGGAACAAAAAATTCATCTGAAAAAAAAAAACAAAAAAGCCTAGAGAAGAAAGTAGAAAAAAAAAAAAAAGCAGTGAAATTGTAAAAGTGACAACTTGTTTAATCTCTCTATCAAACTTCCAACGGTAACTGGAAATCGTAGCTAACGATTCTATTTTCCAAAAACGTAGAAGAACCCAAATCAGCTTCCTGTTCCATGATTGCTTCTAGGGTTTTCTCTTCGATTCTCAATTCCCACCACCGCCTCTCCTTCTGGTGGTTTTCTTTGCTCTTTACGGTGACGATTGCTGCAGAAGAGACCCCAATCACTCGTATTGCCTTCGGCTCATGTGCTAACCAAAGCGCTCCACAGGTAAAATTTTATCCTAGTGGATTCACAATTTCGTGTTTTATGTTTGGCTAGTGCTTAAGTGAGATTCGAATTTGAGTTTTTTTTGTAATGATTTTTGTTACAATTAGCCAATATGGGATGCGATAAACAATTTTGATCCACAATTGTTCATTTGGTTGGGTGATAACATCTATGGAGATATTAGAAGACCACTTACAGTCATTGGTAAAGAGAGAACCTTTGGGCCATGGAAGAATACACCGAGGTTTGTGCCTTCTTCAGAGGAAGAAATGAAATTAAGATACGCTAAAGCCAAAGCTAATCCTGGCTATTCTCGTCTTCAGAGAAAGGTTAAGGTTATTGGTACTTGGGATGATCATGATTACGGATTGAATGACGCCGGAAAAGAGTTTGATCGTAAAGTCACTAACCAAAAATTAATGCTTGATTTCTTGGATGAGCCTCTTGATAGCCCGAGGAGAAAGCAAGCTGGAGTTTATGCATCTTATACTTATGGTCCGCCTAACCGTAAAGTCAAGGTATCATTAGAAAGTTCAATGCGGTTGTTGTCTTCTTTGGTAGTTTTTGAAGGAAGAGCTTATATGTGATTTAACAGAGTTTTGTATCTCCTGCAGGTTATAGTTTTGGATACTAGATATCATAGAGACCCTTTGAGAAGTGACGGGAGTATCTTGGGTGATACGCAGTGGGACTGGCTCGAAAAAGAACTGAGAGGCCCGCGGAGCGAAATTACTATCATTGGATCATCTGTTCAGGTATTCTGTAACTTATTTTCTGTCAATCCAAAAACAGTCTTACTTCTTGTCACTCACTGTCACAGCAGAGTATCAAACTTTTGAGCCCGGTTCCATTTTGGCTATACACTTAAACTTGATAAAGCGGATTCTCTTATTCCATCTAGAACTGTGGTCTCTTAACTTGTCCAGGTGATATCAAATCTTTCTGCAACCACTGGACCACTCTTTTATATGGAATCATGGGGCCGTTTTCCGAAGGAAAGGAAACGTCTTTTCCAACTGATATCAGACACTAAGGTACGGGATTGTTGACAGTAATGTTTCCAACTATCAGTTTTCTTCTTTCCTCGTCCGCCATAATTCTCCGCTGCTTTGACATTACAGAGAAATGGAGTTATATTCATCAGTGGAGATGTTCATTTCGGAGAAATCACGAGATACGATTGTTCTGTTGGGTACCCATTATATGATGTCACCTCCAGTGGTCTAGTACAATCTGTTGAGAAAGTTTTCCCTCGTCCCTTGCGTTCCATCGTTAGGCTTCTTTTTTGGTATACTCCAAGCACGATGAGAGTTATCAATGATAACTGCAAATTCAAATCATGCACATACGGTATTATTCTCAATTGATTCCTTTTATGTTTTTCCTGATAAGTGAACAGAACTAAGTGTCTTACATTGTTATCCATCTCTATTCAACTTTCCAAAAAATCTATTATATAAGCAGCCAAGATACAGTGAGTCTAATTTAAAAAGCGCAGCTTCTCAAACTTTAGCTATAGGTCTACTATAACTTGCCTGGGACTAAATATAGCAGATTGTAGCTGTTGTGAGTTGATTAGAAAGCAGCTAGTGAGACCTTGTCTTTTTTTTTGGGTGAATAACATTTTGATAGATTTGTTACTATCACCTATGCAATTCGATTTTTGTTTGTTTAATAACAGATAAAAATGGTGTACATTATCATCTCTGTAATTTAACGGAGAAGCAAAGATGCTCCGTTGAGGATTACATTGGTCACAACATCTTAAAATTACTTGCAGGACAACAAAATTTTGGAGCGATATCGATAGATTGGAATGCAAATCCGGTTATCATAAGGCTCGAGATCAGAGATGTTAACGGACATACAGTACTAGGCACAAATGTTTCATTATCCGAACTCCAACCAGGAGGCTCGAATTCTTTGAAAGATGCAACAACAAAGGGAAAGTCCCAACGATATTGCACACTCGAAATTGAATTACCAGGACTGATCAGATACAGATTGGCAGTTCTCATCTACTTCACCATTGCTGGTATGTCATTCTTCCTCACTGTTAATGTTACTCGGTTGGTCCGGATGAAAGATTGTTGCAGAGTACTGATATAGACGTTGTTTGGTTCGATTTGACAGTCTTGGCAATGGCGATATTAGGACTTATCATTGGAGGTGTACTGGCCATAACAGCATGCGTTTATAAATGCAAGGTCGATTGATTGTTGACTTGTTCTGGTAAATGACTTTAATCACCTTTTTTTGCTCCAACAAAAGTGTCTTTATGACTTATACTCTGTATTTATTTCGTGATTATTATTCTGATGTTAGGTTATTATGTTAACAACAGTTGTGGAATGGTATGAACAGCCCCGGCCCAACATTATTACAAGCCTTAGGGCAAAAAAATTTTTTTGGACCTTTTAATTTTTTTCCAAAAGAAAAAACTGAATATTTGGACATATTTTAACATTGTTTGGGCCTATTGTTGACAAAAAAAAAATGAATAGTTTAAATATCTGGACCTAAATTTAGTATTTTTAGTAGGTTTTTAATAAATAATTTTAAAATAAAAACGATTTGGGCCTTTTTAAATACAAAAAATAAATTAAACGGGCCTTTTTATAACATAAATTTTTTAGAGTTGGGTATGAGCCCACGGCGGTCGCACTTCTGTCCTATCCACTTGGGCCGGGCCTGTATGAACACATGGAATTTGATCTTGCGAATTCTAAACTTGAGCTTTTATTTATTAAAGTTCTTTGAAAAAGAATGGTCCTGAACAGAAGTTAAATTCTAGACTACAAAAGCATTATAGTTTCTAGTTCCTTTTTTCTTTTATTACTGTAATTGATATATTAAGCTTCCTCATATTTGTTTTTAATCTGTTGTTTTTTTTTTATGAAATTTAAATCTATATAAAAATAACAACCCGAATAAATGTTTTTTTTTTTTTTTGCAGTTGTTGTTTGTACCTAGGTTGTAACAATGATAATATACGAGATTTTGGGGGTGAACGGAGCTAATCCTTTTATTAACGATATAAGCGATCGAGAGATTACAGAATGTAAGTTTTCGCCGCGGCGGTTATAGACTATCCGCCGAGCCGAACACTTAACGTACGAAACAGAGAGACAGAATACGAAAACAAGCGAAGCGGCGAAACTCGGGCTAGGCGACGATGTCGGGCTAGGCAACGATTTCGGGCTAGGCAGCGATTCTTCTTGTCTGCTGGTTAATAACCTCTGGATCGGATCCTGTTCCCAATAAAGCTTCTGACTATTTATAGGGAATAGGAACCCTAAAATTCCTTCTGTCTCCACTGTAAATGACGGTTTTGCCCTTCCGGGCTTAATGGGCTCTTCATAGTGATCAAGGCCCTCTTATAAACTTGTGCCATCTGTTTTGGGCCCCCTAACATATAGGGGGCAAAGCCCATGTCCAACAGTAAGCCCCCCCCTTAGTCCGTTGTGCGAGAGTATGCTTGAGCTTGACGGGCATGTCTTTGAGGTTGAAATATGTTAGTTGGGCGCAAAACAGAGTCTGACTTGAATGAATCGTCTTGTAGCCTTTGCTTGTTTTCCGAGGCGAACCGAGACTTCTCCGGGTGAACAGTAACTTCGGCACGTTTTTCGAGGTGAACAAAAACATCTCCATGTGAACAGTAACTTTGGCACGTTTTTCAAGGCGAACCGAAACTTCTCCGGGTGAACAGTAACTTCGGCACGTTTTTCGAGGCGAACCGAAATTTCTCCGGGTGAACAGTAACTTCGGCACGTTTTTCGAGACGAACCGAAATTTCTCCGGGTGAACAGTAACTTCGGCACGTTTTTCGAGACGAACAGAAACTTCTCCGGGTGAACAGTAACTTCGGCACGTTTTTCGAGGCGAACCGAAACTTCTCCGGGTGATTTTGTGACTTCGGCACGTTTTTTCGAGGCGAACCGAAACTTCTCCGGGTGATTTGTGGCTTCGACACGTTTTTTGAGACGGGCTAGGTTGTGTATCCAGAGAATTAGGTCAATAGTTTTACCTCGGTAAATGTGCAATGTCTCCTCCTTATAAATATGCCTTTTTCCCCTCACTTTCACTTTTCTTCACTTCTTCTTCTCAGCAAGGTAAAATTCTTTCTCCCTCTCTAATCTTTTGTTTGATTTTGGTCTTTGGGGTCCGTTGGTGCGTTGAGCCGTGTGAAGATGTTGTGCCGCGGGTTTCATCGGCATGCCGCGGGTCTAGGCGACGTGCCGAGGGTCAAGGGGACGTGCCGCGGGTCAAGGCGACGTGCCGCCAGGATTGCCGTGCCGCGGGCTAATTGTTGTGCCGCCGGTCTTGCCGTGCCGCGGGTCGATTGCCGTGCCGCGGGTTGGCTGCTGCCGTGCCGCGAGTTGCCGTTGTGCCGCCGCTTGACGCATCTCTTGGTGCCACGGGTTGCCGAGCCGACGGTCTCACGCCGCGCCGAACCACGAGACGTCGTGCCAATCCTCAAAGTGCCGCGTCGCGCCAAACCATGAAGTGCCGCGCCGCGCCGCACCGAACCATGAAGCGCCGCCCCCGCGGGGTTGGTCTTGGAACTGCCTTGTTGCGCCAAAGCTATGAGTTGCCGACCCGGAGGTCATTTTGCCGCACTGCGGGACGCGCCGGAGTTGCCCCGCCGAGCCGTGCCGTGCCTTCTTGTCGTATGGTCCTCGTCATGTTTTGTCGCGTCGTTGCCGCGGTAAAAGGGAGTTGCCTTGGGGCCTCGCGACAAGTTTGTCGTGCCACATTCTCCGTTGAGCTTCCTTGTTGAATTATCACTGCAATGTGGCGGAATGGTGTTGAAGTTTCGTCGTTCGCGAGGTGGGCCTAAACCGCGGCCGGTTCGGTTTAGTTCGTGACGAGTCTCTGATTCGTGTCTTGGTTGTTTTTGCAAGGTTCCATTCGATGTCTCGTTTCCCGGAAGACTACGTTCGCGAAGAGTTGGAGGTTGACGAATATCGTCAATTGGAGCAAACGTTGGATGGTTTCGGTGCGGACCAAGGTGTATGGTTAGGACAGTCGGAGGCTGATGATACTCTTGCTGATTTGGACTAGGAAGATGCGCAATATCTCGATAGTCTATTAGCTCCGGAGAATGTGGAGGCCGGGCCAAGTTCCAGTCGTCGTCGTGGAAAGGTTTTTGAGCACTTGGTTCGTGAGGTGACACCGATCGTGATGGGTTTGAGGGCTCCGAGCGCGACTACTAATCCTCGTAAGAATCGTAGTAGGAAAGCCGAAGCAGTGGTTGAAGAGAGTTCAAACGAGACTTGTTTCTCGCACGGTCATGGGAAGTCGGTGAGCACTTTGAAATCGTTGAAGAAAATGTTTACACAATGTCAGCTGTCTGCCGACGTAGAGTTTCTTGTGCCCGAAGTGCACGAACGTCCTTCTGATTGTCCCGATGGATACATATGTGTTTACGAACCCTACTTCACAGAGTGCGGGCTCTGGTTTCCTCTTCCAGAATTTCTCACGAGTTATTGTAGTCGGCGGAATATCGCGTTTTCTCAGCTGTCTGTGGCTAGCATCCGGAATGCGGTCGGTCTCGTAATAATGGCGGCGGAGGAGAATATAGTTGTGAATCTTAACCTTTTCGAAGAGGTTACTACATTTTCGATTGGACAGAAAAATCCGGGCATTGTTTGCGCAAGTTCGAGGCGACGTTTTAAGATTGTTTATGGTGCTAAGAAGAAGACGAATGATTGGAGGAAACGTTACTTCTTTGTGAAGTTAAACGAAGCGTCGGTTGAAGATATTCATCTGTCTTGTGATAACGTGTGGAAGATGGATCCTGGTAGTTCTTAGTTGGTCCGGATTCGACAAGGTTTGTTCCTTCGCTGATTATTGATAAATTTCTTTTTGTTGGTACTGCAGGGTTTGCAGAACGGCCAGACGGGTTAACTGACGGTGATCGTTCAAGTCTTGATATTCTACGGGCGAAGAGAGCTTTATCTTGGCCGCACGTTCTTGATCATTTTCGTACTTGTGAATGTTCTTTTATCGTTCTTACGTTTGTCTAGGCCCTCGCTATTGCGTTTCTTACGTAGAATTTTTCTTGTAGGTTCCTACTCGTGTTTGAGGATGGGTGATTGCGTTCTTCCAAGTTACGCTGATCAGTTTGATGAAGACGTCGTGCCTTTGCTCGGGAATGGTCCGCAGGGGTTGGCTGACGAGACGGGTCAGGATGTGGTCGTCGAGGTGGTCGAGGCAGAAGACGCGCGTGCCGAGGCAGATGCGTCTCGTCGAGCTAGGTCGGCGGAAGCGGATGCCGCTCGTGCTGGGAAGAAAGTCTCGAGAGGGGCGACGGGGAGTGCTCCTCCATCTGCCGGGGGTGGACGTTCGCGGAAGAGGACTTCGCGTCGCAGTCCAGAAGCTAGGCCGTCGAACGTCGGAAGATCTGCCAGGCGCGATGAACCAGTTCGGGAAGCCCGTGAAGGAGTCGATCATTCGTTTTCTTTCAACTACGGCGCGAAGAATCACATGTTTCATAATGATGGGGATGCCTGCGCGGAGTTGGCGAGTAAGATTCGCGGTGATTTCGTTGAGTTTCCTCGAGTCGATTCTCTTCTTGGGGCGGATCTCTATCGTGATGTAGCTCGTCGGAGTCTTCAGGTTTGTTCCTCCTGGCTTTGCGTTCCTTTAGTATTTACGTGTGTCTCCGGTTTCTGACTTTGCCTATCTTACAGTCGCTGAGCCAGATGAACCGCTTGGTCGGTTTTTATGAGGAGAAGGTGAGGGCCGCTATGAGGGAGAATGGTCTGCTCAAAGCTGCTCTGGAGGCTGCCAAGAGGTCCGTCGCTGCTCGTACGGGGGACTACGAGTCCGAGAAAGCGAAGGTTGGTGGTCTCGATTTGACGATAAGCAAACTTAGGGAGCAACTCAAGGCTGCTAAGGCGAAACTTGCGTCGGAGGTTACGAGGCTTAGGAAGGCTCGTGACGAGATTGCTGCAGTAGAGCGTCACAAGGCGGAAGTTGAGATCGCGGATAACCATGCTCGCATAGAGCGGATGAGAAAACATATAATCGGTCTGCGAGCCCAGAGTATTCCTAAGTATACGCTCTGCCAGGTGAAAGGGATTCAGGAATGCCTTGAGAAGATGATCAAGAAAGGGACGGTTATTCCTGAGGAGAGGATGGCGAGATTGGCGGCGGATCGTCCGGCTTGGCAGCGAAAGTTTGACGAGATTGTGGTTCCGGACATTTTCGAGAGCGACCTCGACCCTCTTCAGATGCCACCAAGAAACGGCGCTAGAGATGCCAATGAGTGATTCGCCTATTACTTGTCTCGTATGCTTTCGTTTTATTTCCCTTTCTTTTGTTGTTATGAACTTTGTCCGGCCGTTTGTGGCTCGTTGGACCGGCGTTATGTATTTTCGGCCCTCTGTTGGGTCTTTGCTATGAACTTCGTTTGTTTCCTTTTAGTCTCATGACTTGGTGATTATTTTGACTTTGCTATTTCTTGTTTTTGGTTATCATTGTTGTTTTTGTGCGAGGCGTAGCTCGGACACGCTTATTGTAAAGCGAGTGTGATACATGGCCCGGCTCCGATATATATTTTGCGGGGCAAGACGTCTCTTGGCTTATCCTGTATACGTTTCGAAAAGCCGAGCTTAAGAAGATGTAGTCGAGACGGACTCGTCGTACTTTTTAGGTGCGGCTCTGGTGTCCGGCTTACCCCGTGGGTGCTTTGAGGTCGGCGAGAATGTGCAAGCCGGAGCTCGGCTTAATTGTTCGGCCGCCTGCTAGCTGTTGTGCGAGACTGGGCTCGGCTTTTAAACTTTACAAAGTAAAGTTGTGGATTATTTCGCCACTGCATCCATGCGGAACGCGTTTCAAAATCGTGCGCCTGGCCAGGGCCACGATGCGGGAGCCAGGCGATCGGCGAGACGGACTCGTCCGAAAGAGCTCGTTAATGATACCGTGCTTTGCGAGCTTGTACTTATGTTTTGAAAAAAGAAAGAAGAAGATTTTTTTTTTTTTTTTTTTTTTTGATAGCTGTGTCCCGTGAAAGGGATCAAGCCATTCGTAGTTCATATTACAAAGGTAAGCTCGGTAGATCGAGCGGTTTTTTTTTTTTTTTTTTTTTTTTTTGGCGCGGTTGCGCCTAGTAATAGTAACGTTTCAGGTTTGCGGAGTTCCACGAGCGGGGAACTGGAGTGCCTTCCATAGTTAGGAGTTCGTAGACCCCTGGTTTGACGATCTTGAAGATAAGGTAAGGTCCTTCCCAGTGGGCGCCTAGTTTGCCAGCATTTAATTCCGCCGTATTTTCGAATACTTTGCGGAGGACGAGGTCACCTTCGGTGAAATGGCGAGGCTTGACCTTTTTGTTGTAGAACTTGGCTGCTGCATGCTGATAGTTTTGGATGCGGAGAAGCGCTTTATCCCGTTCTTCCTCGAGGCAGTCGAGACTATCTCGGAGCATTTGATCGTTGAGAGTGGAATTGTGAACGAGCATGGAGCGCCGGAGCGTCGGGGCGCCAATTTCTGCAGGGGCGAGAGCTTCCATTCCGTAGGCTAAGGAGAACGGCGTACATCCAGTAGAGCGGCGCGGCGACGTACGGTGCGACCAGAGGACGCCATCGAGTTCGTCGGCCCAGACTCCTTTTTTTGCTTCAAGACGTTTTTTGATCCCGTCAAGAATGGTCTTGTTTGTTGCTTCAGCTTGACCATTACCCTACGGATAGCGTGGCGTGGACTTACTCAAGCGAATTCGCCAACGGGCGCAAAAACCTTCGAACTAGAGCGAAGTGAACTGAGTCCCATTGTCCGTAACAATTTCGTAAGGTACCCCATGCCGTCAGATTATGTTCTTCCAAACAAAATTCTGGACTTCCTTGGATTGAATTTTGGCGTACGACTCGGCCTCGACCCACTTGGTGAAGTAGTCTGTCATGATGAGAATGTACTTCTTTTGCCGTGACGCGGGAAGGGGCCTGACGATATCCATTGCCCATCGCATGAAGGGATAAGGTTGTGAAGCTGTTCGGAGAAGTTCGGTCGGAACGTGTATGAACGGGGCGTGACGCTGGCATTTCTCGCAGGTTGCGACGAATTTCTTGCAGTCAGAATTCAAAGTTGGCCAAAAATGGCCGGTTTTTCTGATCCGAAGTGCAAGAGCTCGTCCTCCCGAATGGTTCCCGCCCACGCCTTCGTGAACTTCGCGCATGATATCGTTCGTCTCGCTATTGGTGATACAAGTGAGAAGTGTTCCTGCTGCAGTCCATCGAAAAAGATTGCCATCCATGAGTGTGTACTGCGCGCTGCGAGCTCGTAGGCGTCGAGCTGCCCATTTATCTGTCGGAACGAGACCATCGGCAATGTAGTTACGTATTTCGTCGATCCAGTTCGCATCGGCTGGGGCGGCGGACGCGTCCGGAGTTGTAGATTCGGCCAGTGTGGGTTCGACGATGAGTAAGACGATGCTCGGGGTCGCGGCTGGTGTGTTGATTATTGTGTCGCCAAGCGCGACGGCTGGGGGAACAGGTGATGCATCAGCCAAAATAGCGGGTGTTGAGTGAAGGTCGATGCTGGGACGGTCAATGCTTTCGACGGGAATGATGCGGCGAAGGTCAGGATCTGAAGTAGAAGCGAGCGTTGCTAATGCGTCAGCCGGTGCATTATCGCTGCGAGGAATTTTGGTGAGCTCAAAGAGATCAAAGTTCAGAGAAAGGTCGCGAACGATCTTGAGATAAGCGTCCATGCGGTCGTTCTTTGCTTCATAATCGCCGCTGAATTGGTTTGCAACAAGTTGGGAGTCGCAGAAGGCTTGTATATTTTTAACTCCAATCCCGTGTGCAAGGCGTAGACCGGCAATTAACGCTTCATATTCGGCTTCATTGTTTGATGCGGAGAAAGCAAGACGAAATGACTGTTCGAGTATTTCGCCCGTCGGCGAGGCTAGACGAACGCCGATTCCGGACCCGTGCTTGGAAGATGCGCCATCTACATACAATGTCCATTTTTCGACTGGGGCAACGCCAGGTTCGAGTTCGGGAGAGAGTTCTACGAGAAAGTCAGCGAGGACTTGAGATTTTGCGCATGTGCGAGTCTTGTATTCGATATCGAATTCGCTTAACTCGACGGCCCATTTTGCTAGTCTGCCGGATTGGCTCGGACTGTGAGTAATCGTTCGCAGAGGCTGATTCGTGAGAACTTCAACTGTGTGCGACTGAAAGTAAGGTCTGAGTTTTCTGGCCGAGATGACTACTGCATAGGCGAGCTTTTCGAGAGTGGGATACCGCAGTTCGGCACCATCGAGTGTCTTGCTTACATAGAAGATAGGACGTTGTTCACCTCGGTCTTCTTTGATTAGAACACCGCTGACTGCTGACCCAGAGATAGCGATGTAGAGGTTTAACGTTTCTCCTTGGTCGGGCTTTGCGAGGACCGGAGGGGATGATAGATAGTCTTTCAACTGTTTGAAAGCCTCTTCGCACTTGTCATCCCATTTGAATCGTTTGTTACTTCGCAAAAGCTGGTAGAAAGGCAAACATTTATCAGTCAAACGAGAGATAAAACGGTTGAGCGCCGCGATACGGCCGGTGAGACGTTGAACTTCGCGGGTATTCCTTGGGGAAGGAAGATTGATGAGTGCCGCGCTGGGTGACGAGATATCCCAGGAATTCGCCTGACGTTACGCCGAATGTGCATTTGGCAGGATTCAGCCTCATGTCGTATTTGTTGAGTATTTCAAAACATTGCTTCAAATGATTGACGTGTTCGGCGGCCTGGGTTGATTTGACGAGCATGTCGTCGATGTAGACCTCCATCGTTCGGCCAAGCTGCTTTTCGAACATTCGGTTAACTAGTCGTTGATACGTTGCCCCGGCGTTCTTCAACCCGAATGGCATGACTTTGTAGCAGAAGGTTCCTTGTTCGGTAATGAATGCTGTTTTCTCCCGATCATTCTTATGCATAAGGATTTGATTGTAACCAGAAAACGCATCCATGAATGAGAGCAATTCGTTGCCAGTAGTGGCCTCGACGATCTGATCTATTCGCGGGAGAGGAAAGCTATCTTTCGGGCATGCTTTGTTAAGATCGGTGAAATCGACGCAGACACGCCATTTGCCGTTCTTCTTCTTGACGACCACAGGATTGCTCAACCAATCAGGATAACGAACTTCGACTATAGACCCGGTGGCGAGCAGTTTTGCTACCTCTTCGTTTACTGCGGCTGTACGATCATGACCAAGCTTCCTTCGTTTCTGCTTGATCGGCTTGAAAGTTGGGTCGACATTGAGTTCGTGGTAGGTTACGTTGGGATCAATGCCAGGCATATCGTCAATTGTCCAAGCAAAGGTCGTAGCATTCCGGCGTAAGAATTCCACGAGTTCATCTTTCAAAACTAGCGGGAGATCGGCGCCAACGCCGACACAACGGGCAGGATCGGTCTTGTCGATGTTAAACTGAATGACGGATTCTGTTTGAGGGGCTTGTCGTACATCTAGCGGATGGCTAGGCTCGGCAATGACGAAAGTCTTGGCGTTTCGAAGTCGTTTCTCGATGAGAAAGCAAGTACGCGCGACTGACGGATCGCCGCGTAATGTGTGGATGTCGTGCATGGTCGGAAATTTAACACATTGATGGTAAGTCGAGGCGACGGCCCTCATTTTGTGCAGCCAAGGTGTACCGAGGATAACGTTGTAGACTATAGGTTTATCGACGATAGCAAAGTTGAAGCAATTCATCGTACCGCCAACGTAAATGGGAAGCATAATGGTTCCAACCGTCATCACCGTGTCTCCATCAAATCCAGTTAGTGGTTGAACGTCTTGTTCAGCCATGCGTAGATCCACCTCCATTTGTATTAGAACATCTTTGAAAATGACATTGACTGAGCTGCCTGTGTCAACAAGCACCTTGGTGACAGTACTTTCCCCGATTATTAATTCGACGACTAATGGATCGTTATGCGGTCCCGTGAGGCTAGACGCATCGGCTTCTTTGAACGTGATCGGGTCGGTATTGGCAAAGGCTGGCGTGCCGCCGTCAATCCGATAGCGCTGTACTTCTGCTTGGCGTCGATAATTCTTGATTGAACGGACGGAATCCCGACAAGTCGTTAGGCCGCCCATTATCATGTGAATTTTCCGCCAAGGGACAGGTGCGTCGTCCTGCCGCGGCGCGTCGTGATTCCTCTTAGGGGGGCCAGGCAGCTTTTGGACGGCTCTGCGTGCCTGCTCTAATTGATTGGGCTCTTCATTGCGTTCTCTATCATCGCGTTTGCGTTGATCGTGCTCGACTTCGATGCTACCGTTTTTGAACTTAGAGAGTAGCAAGAGCTGAAGTTGCCGGCAATCGTCGGTGGAATGACCCGCGAATTTATGAAATTCGCAATAAGAACGTTTCGAGTCAGCGTAGCGGTAATACTTGTTCCAAGGGGTGTTTGATTTTGGGTCCTGGCCGTTGATGGCGAATGACGAGTTTTTCTTTCCTTTATCGTTCTTAGCATATTCGCGATCATAATGCTGTCGAGGTTCATAACGTTCTTCGCAAGCTTTGCCCTTTGAGTTAGATGCTTTCGGCTGGCGATCCACCATTGCGGCCTTCTCTTCTTCGATCTCGATATAACGGTTGGCTCGGTGCAGAGCATCGTCCAGTGTGGAGGGCCGAGCGATAATAAGGTCTTCCCTGAACCGTGACCCGAATAATAAAGCATTTCGAAGGGCGCCGATTGCCGCATCATCGGTAATGGCTATGTTAGACACAACCTTCTTGAACCTCTCAATAAATGTTCTAAGCGGTTCGCTCTCTTTCTGAGACATGGTCCAAAGATCGGCGTTCGTGGCTTCCTTGATCATGAAAACCGAGTGGTGTTGTAGGAAAACGGCCGTTAGTTCGCGATAGCTATTGATTGAGTTAACTTCGAGTCGTGAGAACCAATTTAGCGCGTCCCCTGTCAAATTTTCCACGAACAGTTGGCAACTCCCAGCGTCGCTTTCTTCAGCGGTGAAATGCGCGCGATTGATGGCGATGCACATTGACTTGAGGAAGATTTTCGGGTCGGTGAGGCCGTTGTATGGGACCAGATTAACTTTGTTAACATAACGAACATGGACAGCCGAGAGGCGCGCTGTGAACGGCGAGCGTTGTGTCTCTTCCAAAACCTTTTCTAGTTCCGGTGCCGCGGTAGTGGCCCGATGCATTTTTGAGGACATGTCTCTTATTAAGGCGTTCAACCGTGTAAGCTCCTGATCATGAGAATGGTTGTCATCGGTAAAGGGTCGACCAGGCAAGAGTCGTCCGGAGTCCGCGGCTCGGTTGCTAAGCAGATTGTGCCCGCTCGGCTGATTATGCCCGGTCAAAAGATGATGGCCGCTTTGCAGATGGTGACCGTGCTGTGAATGATGGGCGCTCGCCAAGTTGGGGCCGTAGTGCATGTTCTGGGCGCTTTGCATAATATGGCCGTGCGGCAAATTGGGGGCGCTCTGCATGTTTTCGCCGTGCGGCAGATTCTGGCGAGGATGTTCGTCGATGGATCCGACGATGATAGATGCTGGGCCGCGTCGTTCAACCTCTATGCCTCCGGCTACCGGGGTTCGTGGAGACTGCAGCTCTTCTTGGTTATCGTGGGGTTGGGAAGTACGTCTTCGGCGTCGTAGTCGTTCGATCTGGCTCTGGGAAGCGACCTGTGCTGCTACGAGGGCGTCGATCCGTTCTGTGGTCCGCGCGTCTTGGTTGTCGAGCCTATCCAGGATGGTCTGAACGAGGTCGTCCATGTGGGTGCCTTGGTGTGCGGCTCGGGCATGTCCTGGTGCGGTGCATTCGGTTGCTCCTACTGCGGCGGCTGCTCCAGCTGCGGCGGCTACGACGAGTGTGGTAGGTGCCCCAGGAGCCGGGACGGCGTGAGCAGCATCAGACTCCATCCCTGTGTTAGGTGTGAACAAGAGGCGGCGCGAGGGATCTAGCTCGGCGCGGACAGCTACTGGGTTCAAGGGAGGTAATCCTGGCGCGTCGGGCGCTGCTGGCGCGCCGATGTCAGTTCCTCGGTCGCTCGAGGTGTCCGTCATGTCGTCGCGGAGCGTTTGAGATTCAGTGTTCATTGTCTCGTCAAAAAAGGATAGCTTCGAACTAGCCCCACGGTGGGCGCCAATTGTTTGTACCTAGGTTGTAACAATGATAATATACGAGATTTTGGGGGTGAACGGAGCTAATCCTTTTATTAACGATATAAGCGATCGAGAGATTACAGAATGTAAGTTTTCGCCGCGGCGGTTATAGACTATCTGCCGAGCCGAACACTTAACGTACGAAACAGAGAGACAGAATACGAAAACAAGCGAAGCGGCGAAACTCGGGCTAGGCGACGATGTCGGGCTAGGCAACGATTTCGGGCTAGGCAGCGATTCTTCTTGTCTGCTGGTTAATAACCTCTGGATCGGATCCTGTTCCCAATAAAGCTTCTGACTATTTATAGGGAACAGGAACCCTAAAATTCCTTCTGTCTCCACTGTAAATGACGGTTTTGCCCTTCCGGGCTTAATGGGCTCTTCATAGTGATCAAGGCCCTCTTATAAACTTGTGCCATCTGTTTTGGGCCCCCTAACATATAGGGGGCAAAGCCTATGTCCAACAGTTGTAAACAGTTATATCTTTATAACACAACCTTTCATTACATTATTTTTTTAACTAAAAATTTATTTTACGGTTGTATTTTTTTTTAAAGTTGCAATTCGAAGAAATGTCTTCTACGGTTGCGTTTTTTTATCGAAACTTTTCATAAATAGTTGCAACAGTTTAGTTGAACCAATGCAACATTTAATTTATTTAACGAACAATTGTAACTTTTAGTTTATTTTATAAATTGTTATATCACTTAATTATCTACAGTCCCGTCTCTCGTTGTAACTTTTCATAATTATTATTTTTAATTTATAAAAATATTTAAAACAAATTGTAACTGTTTAAATTGTCGCAATCTTTGGTTTATTTGACGAATCATTGCAACTTTTGGTTTTGTTTTATGAACCAAAAGTTGCAATGATCGTCAAATATCATTGTAATCTATAGTTTGTTTGACGAAGTGTTGCAACATTTGGTATATTTGACCAACCGTTGTAACTTTTGGTATATTTGATATCAACAGTCACGTCTCTCAGTTATAATTTTTCATAAGAAAATTTTAATTACTAAAATATATTTAAATGAATTGTTGCTACCGTTTAATTCAACGTATAACATTGACGAGCCAATGAACTTTTTTGCTTATTTGACGAACCGTTGTAACCTTTGGTTTATTTCATGAACCGTTGCAACATTTGGTATATTTGATGAACCATTACAACCTTTAGTTTATTTGATGGACTATTATAAATTTTGGTATATTTGATGAACCGTTGCAACATTTGCCTTTTATAAAAGATTTTATGAGCATTATTTAAAGTTATATTTGTTCATTTAGAGTTGTATATTTTTATCATGTTTTATTAGTGTTTTTTATCACAAACTCTTTATTGTGTTTTTTACTAATAATTTTGTCTATTTAAATTTTCATGTCTTATTAACTTTTTTTTAATCGGATGTCCCCGAAGGATCATGTCTTTTTAACTCTGTATATATTTTTCCTTTTTTTTTAGAAAAGTTATGTATTTTTATAATTTCTTTTTCTTTGATACTTTTTCATATAACATTGCATTATTTCGCTATCAAGCATTGATGTATATACTTTTTTAGCTATATCATTTTTTTTTAAAATAGCTATCAATTTGGTTACCTGTTAATATTTTTTCTAATACAACCACTTCTAAACTTACTAGTGCGGTTGCTAATTTCTGGTGGCATTCAATTGCTGATTCCAGAGGTATGCACTGGATGACTTGGAATAAATTGTGCAATAGCAAATCGGAAGGTGGATTAGGATATCAGAATGTAGATGATTTTAATTCAGCTTTATTGGCAAAACAATTATGGCGGTTGATTACGGTCCCAAACTTTCTTTTCGCAAAAGTTTTTAAAGGACGGTATTTTCGGAAATCTAATCCTCTCGAAAACATAAAATCATACTCGTCATCTTATGGATGGCGGAGTATATGCTCAGCTAGATCTCTGGTGAATAAATGACTTATTAAAAGAGTCGGATCTATGACATCCATCTCAGTTTGGGAGGATCCTTGGATTCCAGCTCAATTCCAGAGACCAGTAAAAAGCAATGGTTCAATTATTGATCCATCTTTAAAAGTAAACAATCTTATAGGGACGAACTATTGGAATATCGATCTCCTACAGGAGATCTTTGATCTTGAAGATGTTCCACTCATAAGTACCCTGCAAGTGGGTGCGCCACATGGAGGATACTATGGGTTGACACTTTCCAAAATCCAGAAAATATACAGTCAAATCTCGATATCATACCACACGGATAGAAAAATTGAAACCAATTTACCTTTTAATGGGCCAGAAACCAAAACTCTAAAAGCACATTCTTGGCAAGTGCAGTGTCCACCTAACGTACGTCACTTCTTGTGGTAATTTTAGCTGGTTTGAGCCGGTTACGAAATTTTTGAGACAAAGA